AAGTGAAAAGTGAATAATTAACAAGATCAAAACGGGACTCAAAAAGAAAGAATACCTTGGCCTGTCCAGAAGTTTGGACAAGTTATATCCTTACTTACTTAATTGCTTATTTACTTACTTACGCCTGTTACTCCTCGTGAAGGAACATAGGCCGCTCACCCGCATTCTATATCCAACCCTATCCAAAGCAATCCATTCCAGCTCCTTCCAGTTCTTATTCATCCTTTCCATATCTGTTTCGACTTACCGACTTAATGTGTTCTTTGGCCTTCCACTTTTCCGCCTTCCTTCAGGATTCCATGTTACGGCTTGCCTCGTTATGCAGTTTGACGATTTGCGTAATGTATGTCCTATCCATTTCCATCGTCTTTTCCTAATTTCCTCTTCAGCTGGGAGCTGGTTTGTTCTCTCCCAGAGAAGGCTGTTGCTGATGGTATCCGGTCAATGGATATTGAGTATCTTGCGTAGACAGCTATTTATAAATACTTGTACCTTCTTGATGATGGTTGTTGTAGTTCTCCAAGTTTCAGCTCCGTACAGTAGAACTACCTTGACATTCGTATTGAAGATTTTCACCTTGATATTGGTTGAAAGTTGAACAAGTTATATGGGCTTAAGATAATAACCGAGACCACAAATAAAAGAAAACTTCAAAACAGGAAATCACTTTAAGGAATGTAGTAACTTGTAAAACATAATAATAATAATATTGGTAATCAAAATAATGGGTACTAAGATTCTTAGCAATAGACATTTGTTTATTTATTTTATCTGTTACTAAGTGACCAACATGAATCTATACAATAATGGCAAAACGTATTTGAAGGTTGTCTGATTTGAAATGTTATATGTTACGAAGTGGTTATGGTTAGATAATCGTTAAATATCGCAAGTGACACTACAGTATTTACTTACTTTCTTGATTACGCCGAAGTTCCTGTGTCCCAGTCTCACGTACAGGAATATCGACGAGCACTGCTAAGGAGTCACATACTAAAGCGAGACGGTGGTCTAATGCTTCTAGGTTGGTTGCTTTTAACCGCATGTAAAATCTGTAAAAACGCTATCTAGAAAAATCCATTCAAACCATTTAGAAAACCCCATCTAGAACCTTTCTAGGGTTACTGCTGGTTCCAAGCTCGAATTACGGAGAAACTTTGAGCATAGGGTTAGAAACCTTACCCCAGAGAAAATAATCTTGCTAAAACAACGCTTAATAGAGATATTTGCTTTTGTAAAGTGGAGAAATAACAGTAGATGAAACAGTATATAAGCCGAAAATTCTATATAGTACTGAATATGTGGTATTGGATAAAGTCAATATTATTAAATTCACACCATTGCACAAATGGGTGGCTATCAGGACGCAGTAGCTAGTTGGATAACGTGATGGCGTTTGAAGCGAACGGTACTGCGTCCGAGTCTAAGAGTGAACATCAACTCTGCGGTGCAGGCACATCCAGCTAACGAGTCCCACATAGGACGAAACGTGCGTCCTGGATTCCACTACTAGTCACTACCCATCTTTCCAATATTATTATTGTTATACAAACTGGTATATTAAAATATTCATAATTACTTATACTGATTTTTTCACCAGGAAAATTGTATGACGAAAGAAAGTAGGTAGTATTTTCAAGTGCAAACATAACCGAATGTTAAGGAATTTAATTGTTCAGTGAGACTGTTAAAGTTTTTATCACATAATTGACATTTATCCAGTTCAGATAAGCAACAACTATACTTTAGCTGTTATCAATCGTCGTTTTCTCAATAGTTATGTTATTGGGACTAACAGTAGACATATATATGTACAAATGTACTCAGTAAAATGTATGTTGTACCGAGTTTAAAACTTGTTTGTCTATAAGTTTATTAATTACATTTTATTATACAATCTAATGGTTGTTTTTTTTCTAAATTAACAACTGATATAACGTATGACGCTGTAGTGAAGGAGAACACAGTTGAGGACAACCAAATCGTATTTAGCATAAATCACAGAATTAGTTGGTAAAATAGAAAAACCATATAGTAAATCGTTAAGTTGCAAAATATCATTCCATCATATCAAACCGGACTGTTGCTGTTGCAAACCTCAATCCATTGTCTCACATTTCATTGTTCATGTAATTTCTTACAAATTCCATTGTGTTCTCCCTCTTCCTTTCTTGATCTTCTCCATCTTCTGCTGCCAGACATTACGTTCTTTACCTCACGTTATATACTACTTATATCAATATAAGTAGCACGCACCGCAACGCCATTGAAAGGTACTGGACAGATTTTTCGTAGTCAATGAGGTATCGTTTGTTTAACCGTTATTATTTCATTCCTAGGATATGTAAAATATTTAAGCATAACCTCTTCCTATATTCACCTTGATTGACAATACTTTTTCCTTTTATAGAAAATGTAATCAGTTTAGCAAATTGGTAACTTAGTCCTTACATATCACATTTATTACTTAACATTAATAAATAAACGAGAAAAAGCAATAAACTACAATTGATTGTCTCAAAATGTTTAATAAATTATGCATTACAGGATAATATGGTCATTATCTTGATTATTTTAACTAATTATTAGCTAATTAATTCAGTTTATTCATTGAGAAATGATTGTATTCTATGAAAGATTCATAATGAATAATTCAGTCAAATCAAAGTTGAGATTATAACTATGACTATGAAACATTTGAGTTAGAAGAATGGTTACACTCAATTCAAATACATTAAGTCAAAGTAAAATATATTATGCAAATTATTTTAAAGTTTTCATTGTGAATCTTATAATGATCAAGATTTGTATTGTAGAATATGTGGGCGAAATGATAGGTAAGTTTTGTTTTCCCACTAGTATTCAATACTTTTCAATGCTAGAGAGAATAGTAAACAAGAAAAGAAAAAAACAACATCATTTTGATCTGATCTATCTGAAAGTTTAAGTTTTGTTTTGTTGTTGTTGTTAAATATCAGTATGAAGTGTACTTTAATTATAAGTTAAATATATTATTGGTTGACGAAATTGTTTACTGGCATTTTCAGTATATCAGAAGACTTTAAGCATGATAATATTCAAAATATGACATAGACGGTAATCAGAAATATGTCACATTCTGTTATATCCCTATGAGAATAATGAATGATAACTATTGGAATCTATATCCGTAGTATTACTATACGTACATTTTTTGTTGTATAATTGGTAAGTAACTAAACTATTCATATTCGTGTTCCTCTCATCATAAGCTTTATTTAGACTTATAAACTATTATTCTACGATTTGCCATTCTTGAGTTATTCCCAGTCTATGAATTACAGTCTCCCATATTCACAGCCACTTTTGGCTAGATCCTGTACAAATGTTATTTTCCATTTTATGATGTGATGTGTTCTGTTTGTTTTGTATATAAACCCAGTATATTTGAAATGTATGATTCATATAGTGGAGGCTGATAATGGTGTTCTGGATTTAACAGGCAGGCCTAAATGGAAAGAAGAATCGATGAAGACTCTCGACTGTTCGTATTTGTTTTACGCGTCATTGGTCCAGTCGATAAATCACTGTTCTCTAATTGGTGGTATCATTACGTCATATAATAATAAGGTACAAGGACTGAAGTTATAACATCGTCTTTCCCTAATTTCCTCTTCAGCTGGAAGCTGGTTTGTTCTCTCCCGCAGAACTCTGTTGCTGATGGTATCCGGTCAATGGATATTGAGTATCTTGTATAGACAACCATTTATAAATACTTGCACCTTCTTGATGTTGATTGCTGTAGTTCTCCAAGTTTCGGTTTCATACAGTAGAAGTGTCTTACGTTCTTATTGAAGATTCTCACTTTGATATTGCTTGAAAGTTGTTTTGAGTTGCATATGTTCTTCGATTGTAGGAATTTGGCCATTGCTTTGCCAATCCTCGCCCTTACGTCAACCATAAAAATAATGCTAAAAAACAACCAAATCTTACATTAAGGCATTTTTATTTGAAAATGTACATATTATACAGTTTATCTAAACTTCTATAAATAAGAACGTTCTATAATTCTAGTGAATAGAAATTTACTTCCTTACGCCCCTTACACCTTGTAGAGGAACATGGGATACCCAATAATATTCTTCAATCAACTCGATACTTTGTTATTCTTTCATATTATTGAAGCCTAATGCTGCAGATTCTGCTGATACATTCTCTATCTTCACCTGAATTTGTAGATGTGTATGAGATAGAATAGCAACAAAATATATCAAAATTACTCTATTCTTCAAATACTATTGTTCCTAACTTGAACTGTTAGTATAACATATCTATTAAAGATGTTTAGTCAAACATAATGTAAAAGTTCTATTCTTTTTATAACAAATCTATGTTTAGATTAATAGATTTCACATATCAGTGTTAAACTTTGTAATTTTACTAATTACTCATTAATTACACCAATGTCTTTTATATAACCTTGTGGAATTTGACTATATTCATGTATATAAGATTGCTGTTGTTGTTGTTGTTGTTGTTAAGCTACATCTTAAATGTTATCTGAATAGCAACAACAACAACAACAACAACAACAAAAAGCCTTACAAATCTGTAATGACTCCTTTTTGATATACCATTGTAAACTTCTATTAATCTAGATAATATTGCCAAGAGAATACAGTTGTCGGTTCATAAATAATAAATAGTTTTTTTGGTTCATAACATTTTAAATTAACAATATAAGACATATAAATTTATTAAGTACTGAATTAACATTAGTTATCTAAGGTACTGACATTCAATTTCCTAAAAATAGGATTATCATAATACTGTTTATATGAGTGTAAGAAAAAAATGTTTTAGTATATTGAACGAAAAGTAAGGGGAACAAACAGGAATTCTCGTATTTATTATCATATAATATGCATCATAACTCCGCCTGGAGTCCCTCCGGGGGCTACTGCCTGTCCCAAGCCCGGATAAAGGAGGAGGGTTGGGCATGGGGTTAGCGTCCTCATCCCGTAAAAAACTAACTCGCTAAAAAAACGCTAACCAGAAAAAATTATTCAAACATTTTAAACTCTGCCCTGGGAGTCAGAAGGTCTTCATTTAGAAGAATTATGACGCCTCATGATGAAAGCCGAATTCCTTCGGAAGTTACGAGGCCGATGCCCCTTCTGACAACCAGAGCGACCATTTATTTAGGTACATGGAATGTTCGTACAATGTGGGACACCGGAAGAGCCTTCCAAATTACTGAAGAAATGAGAAGATACCACCTAGAGGTACTTGGGATCAGTGAAACACATTGGACACAAGTTGGACAACAACGACTAACTACAGGAGAGCTCCTGTTATACTCCGGCCATGAGGAAGAAAATGCACCACATACACAAGGAGTTGCATTGATGCTGTCCAAACAAGCGCGAAATGCACTTATAGGATAGGAATCGCATGGACCAAGGATCATCAAAGCCTCGTTTAAAACAAAGAAAGAGGGCATTTCAATGAACATCATCCAATGCTATGCGCCTATCAACGACTACAATGAAGACGTTGAAGATCAATTCTACAATAGGCTGCAACCAATCGTCGAGAAGTGCCCAACAAAGGACCTGACCATTCTGCTGGGCGACTTAAATGCCAAGGTTGGAACGGACAACACTGGATATGAAGACATCATGGGACGACATGGACTGGGAGAAAGAAACGAAAACGGTAAGAGATTTGCAAACCTATGTGTCTTCAATAAACTGGTCATAGGCGGAACTATATTCCCACATAAACGCATACACAAAACCACATGGACTTCAACGGATCACTCTACACAAAACCAAATCGACCATATCTGCATCAACAAAAAGTTCAGGAGGACTATAGAGGACGTGAGAACCAAGAGAGGAGCTGATATAGCATCAGATCATCACTTACTGGTCGCCAAGATGAAATTGAAACTCAAGAAGCACTGGACAATGGGGCGGACAACATCACAAAAGTTCAATACGGCCTTTCTTCAGGATACTAACAAACTCAACAAATTCAAGATAGTACTCAGCAACACGTTCCAGGCCTTTCATGATCTACTCAATGGAGAACGAACTACTATGGAGAGCAACTGGAAGGGGGTCAAAGAGGCAATCACGTCAACATGTCATGAGGTCCTGGGTCACAAGAAGCACCACCACAAGGAATGGATCACTGTTGGTACACTGGATAAGATTCAAGAAAGGAGGAACAAGAAGGCAGCGATCAATACCAGCCGAATAAGAGCAGAAAAAGCCAAGGCACAAGCTGAATACACGGAAATAAACAAACAAGTGAAGAGGAGCATCAGAACCGACAAACGTTAATATGTGGAAGATTTAGCAACGACGGCGGAAAAGGCTGCAAGAGAAGGAAACATGAGACAATTGTATGACACGACAAAAAAACTCTCTGGAAATCGCCGCAAACCAGAACGACCAGTGAAAAGCAAAGAAGGCGAGGTAATCACCAACATTGAAGAGCAACAAAACAGGTGGGTAGAACACTTCAAAGAACTCTTGAATCGACCAGCCCCACTGAACCCACCCAACATCGAAGCAGCACCCACGGACCTCCCAATTAATGTTGGCACACCAACAATCGAAGAAATCAGCATGGCCATCAGACAAATCAAGAGTGGCAAAGCAGCAGGACCGGACAACATCCCAGCAGAGGCACTAAAAGCAGACGTAGTGGCAACTGCAAGGATACTCCACATTCTCTTCAATAAGATTTGGGATGAGGAACAAGTACCAACAGACTGGAAAGAAGGACTTGTGATCAAAATACCGAAGAAAGGCGATCTCAGCAAGTGTGATAACTACAGGGGCATCACTCTTCTTTCAATACTGGGAAAAGTCTTCAACAGGGTATTGTTAAACAGGATGAAGGACTGCGTAGACGCCCAACTTCGTGACCAACAGGCAGGATTCCGTAAAGATAGACCGGCGGCCTGTGCTCCATTGGGAGTAACAGGCGTAAGTAAGTAAGTAAGTAATATGCATCATATAAATTTATAGTTGAATTCATAAGTCAATTGAAGCCAGTCCACCATGGAAAACCTGAAAGCACTGGACAGCCGTTTCGTCCTAGTATGAGACTCCTCAACAGTGCTCATTCACGATCCCGCCCTAGCGGGATTCGAACACAGGACCTGTCAGTGACCAGTGGAGTTCAACCGGGTCAGTCGTGAGATAGTAACTCACCGATGACAATGGTAGACTGTAGTGCAACATGGTGGATTGGTTGAAGTTAGACATTTACACCGCCGGATGCCGGTCTTAAAGTTAAGCGTTCGCGCGTGAGATTGGTAGGTCCTGGGTTCGAATCTCGCAAGACGGGATCATGGATAAGCCCTGCAGAGGAGTCTCATACTAGGTGGGAACGGCCGTCCAGTGCTTCCAGGCTTTTTATGGTTATCTTGCTTCAATTGACTCATGAATTCAATCATATGATCACTACACGTCTCCACTAAACCCCTTCTGATAATACATTATTATAATTAATCATTTGATTTTGTTAATTTTTGGAAATTGTAAAATTTTTAAGCAGTATATTTCAATTTAGCTGACTAAATTCCGTTTTCCATTTGTGAACACATTTTAGAAACAATTAATGAAATGATATCAGAATACAATGAACATGATCCAGATTTTTGTAGCCTTAAATCGGACTCCATCTAGATCGTATGGGGATGATTGTTATCAAAATAAAGATATCGTCAATCCTCGTATATAATTATTGACTTAACTCGCGTTAGTGAGCAATGGAATCAAATAAGTCAAATACGAGAATGGATTTTTAAAAACGTATATTTCGTACAATTGTTGAACGAAGCAAACGAAGCGAAGAAACAAAGTGAAGAAAGCAAAGAGATAAAAGCGAAGCGAAATGACGCATGATGGAGAAGGCATATGAACCAGTTCAATTTAATCAAAAGTGAATGGATATTTATAGTCAAACAAAAATAAGTTACAGACATGTGATCAATAGGATAAGAAGTGCGCAGACATACTCTTACGTAAAATCATTCAAGTTTGACAAGTGAATAATTAACAAGGTTAAAAATGTGACTCAAGAAGAATGAATAAATTAATCTGTCCAGAAGCTAGAATAAGCTATAAGGGCTCAACATAGCAACCGACAATACAAGATTGACTGACTGGTAAAATTTGACAATCCAAATATATATATACCTTATGGTTTATGATTACGGAATGTTATTAAAATGTAGTGTGTTTTCTCTGTTTAGCTTTATGAAAGTAACTACCTATAAACATTATCAAATGTAGATTGCTTTATTATTTAACTCAGTGATAAAATGCGAAACGTTGTATAAATGTACTAACAAATAGAGCCTCTATAATCTTATTAAATATGAATAGCGTCTTGCACTATTCCAGTATAGCATCTAACCGAAGAACAATTTGTGTCGTACAGTTAATTGTTTATTGATGGATTATTTATAAAAGAAAATAAACCTTATCATACTCCTTTCGAAATCATAATCATGATATCTTCTACATACCTTACTTCAATGCAATTTACAGAAACATCTAGTTATGACGTCTGTAACTCTTTACAAGCTAAAACTTCTCATTTAGTGAATTACTTTGATCGTAAATTTTCGAAACTCTTGAATACGTTCCTACAATCTGTCCGTGAAATTAAATTCAGAGTGATGTATACCTCTTCCCTGAAACTGCTGTGCACCTTTCAGTATATCCCATTTCACAATTGAAATGATAGAGATTTTAAATGTTTAATCGTTGTTATTACAGAGCCAACTCATTAAACTTCCCTTTCTGAAGATATCTTACATTTATACTGTTCTTGTTCATTTTAAATAATTTGGCAATATCTATCCAAATCAGTAGATCGTAAAATAACTTAGCACTAATATATTGGATAAGCTATCACAGTAATTCTTATTGCTTCAGTTCTGTCTTCTCTGTTTCAACTGTTTTTTTCGAGTTAAAGATGAATGAAATCACTCTGTTATGTAACTGGAAATGACCTTGGATGGATTATTCATGCAACAATAGCATGCCTCAGTCCGTACACAGATGCCTCACACTGTTATAGTTCATTTAGTAAATCTACTTCCAAAATAACCTATGAGCTATATTAGTTCAAACAATTTAAATTATGAATTTTTCTTTTACACAACATTGCTACCGGTATCAGCTAGATCATCCCTGTAAAATGGCATACAGTTTGTAATATTTCCAGAAAATTTTTTATTTTTTCCCAGAGATTATATACATGAAATCATAATTTCTCAAGTGGGAACTAAAAAGTCCTTAATTACATTGATCAATAATATTGATATTCTAAAAAGTGATTGATGATAGAGACTAAAGTCAATGAATTGCGATGAAATGAAGAAACTATTATAATCGCTTTGTCATCGATATTATTCACAGTTCCTAGACAGCTTTTATTTATTTTTGATCCACGATACAATTCAGGGTATAATATTATAGTTTAGATTCCAAATTATTAAGTCTCAGGTTGTTCTGTTGTTTAAAGCTATCAAGTAAACAGTTATTTTCATCTAAGCACTTGTCAACTAACCAATTGTTGCATAGCTTCCTTTCAGCAACTGATATTCACCTCTTGACAACATACAACTTTAAAGATTTTTTTAAATTAGCGCCTTTCTATCTTACCAAGGAACTAACTATAAATACTATTGTATAGTTTAATTAAATGATATCGCTGAAAAGATCTTTTTTTCCACCGAATTGCCTGTTTTCGTCTTAAATATCGAATAGCAGTCGATTGAATTAGTCACATAGATTGTATTTTCATATTCATTTATACCAAATACATGTGTGAAAAGTGTAATAAACTAATTTGGTTTTAACTAGCTATGTACTCTAAGCAACAATGCAAGCATGTTCGGGATACGATTCTCTCCCTCGAAATGCAAAATGTTGCTTCAGGATTGGGTTGCATCGACACCCGAACTAATAATAGGGAGTGAAGTAGTTGAGCGTGTCGACCGCTTCACTTATCTTGGAAGTCTCATCAGCCCTTGTGGTCTGGTGTGTGACACAATCTCAGCACGGATACAGAAGGCTCGACTAGCTTTTGCCAACTTGCGTCATTTATGACGTAGGCGAGATATCCGTATATCAAACAAAGGACGTGTTTACTGTGCAGCAGTTCGTTCCGTTCTACTTTATGGCAGTGAAACATGGCCGGCAAGAGTAGAGGATATTCGTAGGCTACTAGTATTTGATCATAGGTGTCTTCGAAACATTGCTCGTATATCCTGGGACTATCGAGTAAGTAACTCAGTTGTTAGGGACCGGGTACCAGGTAAGGATGGCAAATCAATTGATGACGTAGTGAAAATCCATTAGTTGAGATGGCTGAGACACTTGTTACGTATGCCCAACCACCGACTGCCTCGACGTGCTATGTTCAGTGGTATAGAAGTAAGTTGGAAGAAAGCTAGGGGCGGCCAAACCAAAACATGGCACAAGTTCATGAAGTCACTGACAAGTGAACTGAGTCATGTTGGTAGGTGTAGACTACTTGGTTGGGGACCGCGAGATGATAGCAACCGATGGTTAGAGACCCTGAATGACATGGCTCAAAATCGTTTGCAATGGCACAGGTGCATTTACTTTTTGTGTTCTCCCAAATTCTAATCTCTTGAATCTTCCTTGTCTCTTTTTTCCCTTTTCAAATTTATTTCACTGGATTATACTCCTTTAATAACATCCTCAAACCCTAATCTTTCCGATTATTACTTATACGTTTACTATCTCTACCACTACGGGATTTGAATCGACAAGTGCATCTCTGTGCTAATGTGGTGTGGCAACTCGAACTGATGTACGTACGTACGAAGTTCTACGTTGTTACTGAGTGACGAACCTTTTAAGTTGACATTTGGACAGGATTTAATTTAAAAAAGGCCATCGAAAACGTTTTGTTACTAAAGTTTCCTAATTTAAAAATGTTTTGTCCTAAGTGTTGAAGCTTCAGTCAAAGATAAATACAACATGAATATTTCTTAGCTTCCGATTGTTTTTTTGATAACTTAATTCATCAAAAGAATTACAGAATAATTGTAAGAACATTTCACCAATACTTTAATAGAAAAAAATATTTTCTGTCCAATAGTATAATCTAACTGACAGTCAATATCAAAGTGAGAATCTTCAATACGAATGTCAAGACAGTTAGTTCTTCTGTACGGAACTGAAACTTGGAGAACTACAACAACCATCATCAAGAAGGTGCAAGTATTTATTAGTGGCTGTCTTCACAAGATACCCAATATACATTGATCGGATACCATCAGCAACAGCCTATTGTGGAGGAGAACAAATCAGCTTCCAGATGAGGAAGAAATTAGGAAAAGATATTGGAAATGGATAGGACATACATTACGCATCACGAAGTACGTGCTAACTTGGAATCCTGAAGGGAATCAATAAAGTGGAAGGTCAAAGTACATACCGCGCCGAGGTTTGGAAACAGACATGAAAAAAATCAATAGGGACTGGAAAGAATTGCGCAGGATATAGTTGGGTGAAGAATGCTTGTGGGTGACACATGCTCATCGACGATGCGTAAATAAGTAAGTAGGTAATAATATGATCTAATTAGAGCGTGAGCAATAACTTCCAAGAATTTTCTGGTTGGTAATTTACCTACAATCTCATCTAACGAAATATATGTCATTAGAGTACATTTAATAAAGCATAATATGATATCAACAGTATAGCAATAGTATAAAACAACTGAAGAGTGATTATAGAAAGAAACCTCTCCCTCAAAATCGTTCCTCGAAGCATAATGTTATTCTCATACAGGGATTACCAGCTTTAATAATCAAAGGAAGAAACCCTAATATTTAACTTGTCTTCTTTAAGAAGACAACACCACTGTATAAATATCACATGTCACATTGTTAGACAAATAGATCATGTAGACAGGTGTAAAATCTTGCTACTTCAATTTACAAACTTGTGTCTCTTTTATATATTCACTAGTAATTTCTAACATATTACGGTGAGACTATAATTTATGGACGACCTTTGAGCGACGCTGGACTGACGATGATAGGATTAAATGAGTATTATATACCTGTATGAGGACTTAGAATTATGATTTGCAGTTGATAGTTAAGATTAGGAATTAAATTTAGGGTTTTCATCACGAACTTACATCAGCTATAATGCTAAAACTCCATTTCGCTAAATCAATGAATGAATTTCCCAATAATATCCGAAACCTGTTCTCTTATACCTGATTGATTCATTCAAAAACTATAGTCTCGCACCTATCGAACAAACTAGAAATGATATGAAATCAAATTATATAACACAGAAACTAATCATTTATTATTATTACCTTCATTAAACAAATCACATTCATATATCGTTTATCATTATATTCTGCACATATTCCATTTTGATTTGACTACATTTAACATAAATCATTCTAGGTTTTTTAGGCTCATTGGTTAAAAATATTACTATGGCTATTACTTTAAAATCTCACTACACTGATTTCAATCTTTTTCATATTTTTCAATTATGAGTAAACAAGTAAAAGTAAAACAACACCAAGTGAATTTAAACTTCACCCCATTGCACAAACAGGTAGCTATCAGCACTCAGTAGTTAGGTGGATAACTTGATGGCGTTGGAAGCGAATGGTACTTTGTTCGAGTCCCAGATTGAATATCAACTCTAAGACGCAGGTATATACAGCTGACGAGTCCCAAATAGGACGAAACGCACGTCATGGATTCCACTGCTAGCTACTATTCATCTTTGCTTAAAAAGAAAAATAGTTGAAAATAATAATTTTTGTTGACGATTTATAGTGAATGAATGATTAGGCTTGAACAATTTGAAGTAATTCATAAATATCTGGAGAAAAAAAAGGTGAGGGAAGATTTTAACTCTTCTCTCAAATTGATTTACACAAATCTGGTTCAAAGAAAGTAATCTTTAATACAAGAGTATAATTCACTGAATTTGATTTTGATTGGTTAGAAATTCTTCGAATCATTTAACGGTCTTTAAAATCTCCATCATAGGTCTCAAGAACCATTCAACTAATAATAACTTTATAAAGTACTTTCATACTAACCAGAATATTGGTAGATATATCAATATCATACACAATAAACCTTATGAATTAAAATGCTTAATCATTATGTCATTTATTACCATCTGTGATATATTCATCTTATGCATATTTTATTTTATCAATTCTTATCCCTTTTTTTTAATAGGATAATACACAACAACAAAGAAAATATGTAATTGAAGTATCAATATTAAAAATGTTGGATAGAATTCAATGAAACTATTCACATTTGAAACCTATTGAATGAACACAAAATTTAATTATTTAATTAAAGAAAATAAATAAGAAATACCTTAATAAATGACAAGATATATGCAAATAGTCATAGTAATTATAGTTGCTATGGCTATTATTATTATTATCTTGTTGTTGTTGTTGTTGTTGTTGTTGGTGGTGGTGGTGGTAGTGATTTTGTTTTACACACGTTCATATATACAAAGACGTTTTAGAAATAATCATGAATGAAACCATGAACATATAATGCACTTAATAAATGTATCAAATTGAAAGGAAATCAATATTTCATTTTGATCATGTAATAAGAATAAGTAGATTATCAGAACTTTGTGACTGGGTTAATATACCGTCACATAGTTCGGATCATTTTTATGTTTTTATTACATTATCGAAATTTATCAAAAAGGGACTAATTGGTTTAAATGTTTCATTGTTAATGGATCATTTTAATCTTAACCGATTACATATATATTAACTGTCAATCAATGGAATCAAGGAGCAAAGAAACAATAGTACCAGAATTCAAAATGCTTTAATCTTGTATCCAACAACAAAAAAAGAGGAAAAAGAAAATATAGAAAGAAGTTTGGGTTCAACCAACAAAAAAAAACATTTTTTTTCTTTTAAAAAATAATCATTTCTATGGTATTTTAATATTGCGTTAATTATAGTAAACAATTTGATTACATTCATATCAGACTATGATATTGTTTTATGGTTTGTACTGTGTTTGACAGTGATTTCTTTTGTCTTGAACTTTCTTGTAGACGTTTTTTTTGTGATGTTTGTTTGTTTACTCTTTGAAGTCTGATTATTTTTCAAGTATATTCGATGTATAACATCAAGGAATTACAACATGAACATTTAAGATATTCAACACTTTTTATGTTCTTCATGGCATTATCTCTTGAAGATATTGATTTATTCATTGAAATCTACTTTTTGATATATACTAGATGATTTAAATAAATTTGTATTACTTTGATTCTATAGATTGATCCATTTCAATTGATTTTTGATAATCAATCAATTTTTTTGATTGACGATATTGTGATGATGTATGAATTGTAAAATCCAGATCATCTTGTCTATCATGATTAGTTAATAAACGATTATGTGAACGACGAGTAATTGATGGTATATTATTATTATTATCACTTTCTTCATTTATACCAAATTTCATTAATTTATGACAACGACAACCTAATTTATAAAATACATTTTTGCATAATTGATGTACACGTTGACGAAAATTACATCCAGTTGCATAATAAATGATAAAACTAAATGCATAATGTGATAATGCAATCTCATCACCAAATGCTTTAATTGTAATCATTTTGAAATATTGATTCCAAATAGGATCTTCTAAAGCCTAATTAAAACAAAATAGAAACAATGAAAATTGCATTTTCTAGTTATTTTAGTGTAAATTATAATTTATACTGACACATTCAAATTGGCAATTAATATATCAATGATGAATGAATTCACTATAATCTATTTTTCATAGTTTTGTGATTACAGTCTAAACGTTTCTATGTCAACAGTACACATCAGTTGAATAATATTAAAAATCAATACTTTTGTTGGTGATTTAGTACTTTCAAGGGGAAAAAAATACAAAAAATGACATACCTTAAGATTTGAGTGACTACAATAATCAATAACTGTTGCAATTTCAAGCTGGAAAATCTAATTGAGTCCAATTAAAGTACAGGCCCCCAAATACCCTGGTACGGCCAAGAGTGGGGATAGTCCGCTCTCCCTCTCGAAATGCTCTCACATGGCCACGCCTATATGGCCTCTGCCAAATGGCGTATGAACCAATCGTTGGTCACCGGCATCCATGGGACTACATCTCCTTATGATGCTCCACTGCCTTGTGGATCAGATCTTGAGGTCGAAGGCTCGGGGAGTGGCTCTCTAAGAAAACCACCTACTTCGATTTGGGCACCCGGGTAGTATCACAGCCCTCACACGCATCAAATGAGATTTGTGTGGCACATCTGTATTTGGTGCCTCTTTGTACCAATATCTATGTCTTAAAATAAATAATAAATAATAAAAGTACAATCCTTATTAAGAAGAGTTGGGTGGTGTTTAGTTTTAGTGTGTATATTCATACGAATTTAGGTAAATCTAGTTGATTAGTTACAAACTGGATGAAACCCATATCCTGGATTCCACGGCTAGCAATTATCAAACTCTGCTTAAGATAGTCTGTAAATAAATGGCAACATTATAGTAATCTGCCATGGATAAATGTTTGATTAAAGTAGTTCATCAATTTTAGTCCTTAACATCAGTTAAAAGGAGGTTACAAGTGTTTATAATATCATAATTATATACTTCGCAACGAAAGTTACATCTAATTTCTCTTTAGCAAACAAAATATGTGAATACCGTTAAATTCGACCTCAGACATCTTCAGTGACGAAGCTAATAGATAACTCAATTTTTTACTGATGATATTACTACTTAAAATAATTTAAAGATTACTACAGTCTTCAAGCTAAATGTTTTTCTCCTCAGAACAATCAGTGTTGTTTACAACATCGTCGTTTACCAAGTTAGGGTTGAAATATTTTAAGACACCCAATAAATGAATGAGGTATTTTGTCTAATAAACTAACGTTAAGTAAGATTTCTTATGAATTCACGAGGTCGATGCCCCTTCTAACAACCAGAACAACAATTAATATGGGTAAATGGAATGTCCGAACAACGTTGGAGATCTGAAGGACCAGTCAAATAGTTACGGAAATGAGAAGGTACAACTTGGTAGTGCTTGGCATATGTGAAATCCATTAGGAGCAAGTAAGACAGAAAAGATTAGACTCGCGAGAGATGCCGCTATACTCTAGTAACGAAGAAGAAAATATTTCGCACAGCCACAAAACGACTTGCTGATGCTGCCCAAAGAAGCGTGTAAAGTACTTGTAGGATGAGAATCTCATGGACTCAGAATCATGAAAGCATCCGACAAAACAAGGAAAGAGGGTATTACAATGGATGATATTCGGTATTATGCTACTATCAAAAATAGCAAAAGAAGACATAAGAAACATTTTTAAAAGAGTCTGTAATCGATCGTAGAGAACTACCCATGAAAAGACCTGACAATCCTGATGGGAGGTCTAAACGTCAAAGTCGGGATGGAAAACAACGGTTGTGAAGATGTTATGAGACGACGTAGGATGGATGGGAGAAATCAACTACAATGGTGTCAGGTTTGCAAATTGATGTGCATTCGGCAAACCAGTCATTGGCAGCGCAATACTACCACACGAACGCATACACAAAGCTACATAGATAGCACTAGATCACATTACAGAGAATCACATAGATGACATTTGCATCATTAAAAAAATTCGCAAGGTCACTGGCAGGCTTGAGAAATAGGGGAGAAGCTTATATAGATTATGATCACAATCTACCTGGTGGTTGCCAAGATCAAACTGAAGCTAAAGAAGCCCTGAGCAAACAGGATTATAAAGGTTCAATATGGCCTTCCCACAACATATTGACAAACTCAACGAATTCAAGACAACTTTCAACAACAGGTTCTAAGCCTTACAGGATTTATTGGAAGGAGAAACTGCTATGGAGGGCAACTGGAAACATATCAACGAAGCATTAACTCCAGCGTCTCAAGAGGTGCTGGACCGCAACTAGTATCATAAGGAATTAATCCCTATCAAAACCCTGTACAGGATTCCAGAAAGGGAGAACAAGACGACAGCAATTAACAACAGTCGAACAAAACAGAGCAGGTCAAGACACAAGCTGAATACATTGAAGCAAACAAGTAACTCAAAAGGAGTATTAAAGCTGACAAGCAGAAATACGTGCAAGAGCTAGCAACGACAGCGGAAAAAGCTACAACAGAAGGAAATATAAGACAACTATATGACACAACGAAGAACCTATCAGGGAAATATTGTAACACAGATAGAATGGTCAGGAATAAAGAAGGCAAGACAATTACTGGGATTTAGGAAGAGTGGAACTGGAGAGAAGAACGCCTTGAAGTACTTTCAAATATATCAACACCACTGAGCCCAGCGAACATCGAAGCAGCACATACTGATCCTACAATAGATATCCCAAAGATGTTACCTCAGCAGAGATCGAAGAAACCAGCATTGTCATGAGATAAATCAAGAGTGCGAAAGTGATACGACGTGTCAGTATACGAGCCGAAGCATTGTTGTTAAACATAGAAATAACTGCAAGGATGATCACACTCTGTCCAGAAATATTTGTGAAGAAGAACAAGTGTCGTTGACAGACTGGAAAGACGGACACCTGATCAAAATACCAAAGAAAGGAGATCTGAGCAAATGTGAGAACTGCAGAGGCATCACACTACTGTCAGTACCAGGAAAAGTCATTAACAGAGTGTTACTGAACCGGATGAAAGACGCAGTGAACACCCAACTTCGAGATCAACGGACCGGATTCCTTGAGGATCGGTCATGCACGAATCACCGTCGAACAATCAATTGAATGGAACTCCTCACTATACATCAACTTTCTTGTCTATGAGAAGGCGGATAAGTGAATATTATGGAACCTCCTTGGACACTATGGTTTGAGTAGCTGAGAAGACAGTCAAAATCATACGGACTTCTCTTTCTTCTGGTGGTTTACTGGATAATCAAGAGAAGGATCAACGAATACATTGTTTGGGGAATCAGAGGTAGATATCAAAATAATAAATAGGAAATGGAAAGAATAGAGGAAGACACTGTTCAATGGATAATCCTGGTTGGCAGCCTATGCTCACCCACTAAGTGTACAGGAGTAAGAGAGTAAATAAGTGGCTCTGAAATGTACTTTCTTAATGCATGGCAATAATTTTGCGGTTCATGAGATGATTTTTATTGATTTATATTATACTGATTAATAGTGGAGTTCACTAAAAGCTGAAACTCATTTTTCATTATCTGTACTAAAACATTGTCTAATTGTGATACCAAAATTTATGATATTTCAATCAACTTACTGAGAAACGTTTTATATGTATTTACTTTCATCATTCTAAAGATAATGTGAACAAAGAAGTGAGCTGATCTTATTACATTAGATTCTTATCGGTTGTTTCCAACCTGTCGTATTTAAAAATCATTAATACAAAATGAGTTGTAAATATTTCGATCAATGTCTTTTGTTGAATTCCGGTGTTAATATATATATCCGCATAGTATAACAAAGATTTAGATAGATTTAAGCAACTAAATAGAATTTCAAATGTACATAACATGCAAAAAATAAACAATATTCAACAATATTGGTATTACAAAAATGAAATCGAAGAATTAGAATTCAGTAGATTGCTCAATAAGAAAAACCTAGCAATAAGTAAGAATAGAATTAGTAAAGCTTAGTTGGTTAAGAAATTAAAATTGCTAAATGAAATGAAAATTAATATTAAATCAGTTCTTTGACATCTGATCGCAACAGCAAACGTCAGAAGATTGGAGGCTGTTTGTCCATCGATTAATTTGTAAGATTCCAAGGTCTCAACCCGATATCTGGCGTTCAAATTAATTCTTCTTCTTGATAGTAAGTGGCAAGACTCTAATTTATGGACGAGCCAATCAGAAGTGTTTGAGGGATTTAAAGATCACGGAGCCAATTTCATTACCTGATGCTCACATACGATTGGATTACAGCGAACTTTAGAGAAGATGTGATTTTTGAGCGCTTACAACAGATTGGACCACTAAGAAGTTCCATTCTTTCTGACTGTGGCTAATGTCCATGGTTATCTAGCTTCAATTGACCCATGAATCCAATTATTAAATATATATATATATATATATATATATATATATATATATAACATCGCCTGGAGCCCGCCTGGGGCTACTGCTGGTCCTAAGCCCAGATAAAGCAGGAGGATTGGGAATGAGGTTAACGACCCATCCCGTAGAACACTAACTCGCTATAAAAACACTATACATATATTCATTTCCACAGGATGAAATAACATTTTGACCAATCGTTTCTTATAAGTGATTATACAAAACAAAAACTTAAAATTAACTAAAACGAAAATTATTCATTTCGTAGGTTCTCGTCAGCTGCTTACAACCTGTAATATTTAAAATTATAATTACATAATGACTTAAATTACTTACATGAAAGAGTTTGGTTGGAAATTATATTGAAGACATATTCGTGTAGCCTAGCAAGGATGTAAATAAAATTAATAGACTGAATATTGTAAATATATACCCTTTATGAAAAACCATTCTAAAACATTGATTGTGACAACAGTTCAAACAGCTAGAAACAAGTGATTATATAATGAGAAGGGGTTTTGTGAAGATTTCAGAAATTTCTATGATTAAAATCATGAGTCAGTTGAAACTAAACAATCATGGAAAACCTGAATGCACTAGACGGCCGTTTTGCCCTATTGTGGGACTCCTCAACAGTGCTCATCCACGATCCCGCATCGTGGGATTCGAACCCAGGACCTGTCAGTCTCGCGTGCCAGCACTTATCCATTACACCACTGAGCCAGTCGGCATTCAACGATGTTAATGCCTAACTTCAACCAATCTAAGAAATCGCATAATGAATAAATATTGATAAGAATATAGTGAGTAGAGCTCAGTTGATAAAATAAGATTATTAATAATGGAAGATAGTTGAATTAAAACTCACTAATGTAATACATGCGAGGAAGAGGTTAAAGAAAAAGAAATAGTATTTGTCACCAAGGCAACAACCTATGAAATAAAACTGAATTCATGTTATTCTGCTAGAATCTTTGTTCTTTCTCTTTTCAAAATGATAAAAATATCAATGATAATTATTCAATAACTTACTTCTTTTTCTGTTGCATTCATATTAGGCTCTTCTTGTGTTTGATGAATTAAATAAACAAGACCACCAAGTAATGTTGTTAAAATTGTATAAAAACTAACAGTTAAAAGCATTAATGTTGTTGATTTAAAACTTGGACTAGTACGTTTATTATGTGAAATTTTATATGAATCATTATAATTTATATGAATTAATTCATTATTATTATTACGATTAGAAATTATTGATTTTTCATTGATTATTGATTTATTATTATTGATTGAATTGATTGAATTATATTGTGGAATAAAATTTAATGAATTTTCATTTGATATTAATGAAGTTTTATTAATTTTTTTATTTGATTTTATTGAATTTGATGATAGTTGCTTAGTGAAAATATTTTTAAAATATAATTTAATTTTATTCCCATGGTGATTATTATTATTATTATTATGAGTAGTAGTAGTAGTATATGAAGGTTTTGGTGAATTTTTATTATTTATTATATTTGATTGAGATGTTGAACAATATGATGATGATGATAAATGATTTGACATAATAGCTAATTGTTTATTAGCATGATGAACTTTAGCTAATTCTTTAATGACTAAACAATTGAATATTAATACTAATAATGGTACAACACCAGCAAATACACCTTCTAAACATGATAAATATACACTTATAATTAATGGATTAATATGTCGTTTACTACATGTATTTGTTTCTGTTATAAATATATATGCATAACCAGAACATACTATGATTGTACTAATGATAATAATGATACATATATAAATTGCTCTTTTTGAACTACATATTCTATCAATATAAAATGGTTTACATATAGCTAACCAACGTTCAATAGTAAAAGCAAGTACAAATAATGGTGATGCATATTGTACAGCTGGTGATAAAATATTTTGTATTTCACATGAACCAGGTAATAAATATTCACGTATTTGCCATACACGTGATAAATCTCTATTTAATGCAAATATTAATACAATTATATCATTTAATGATAATGCAGCTAAATAAACAGCAGCAGAATTTTCTTTGATCATTTTTTTATTAGACCATATAATTAATGAAATAAAATTACCTGGAAAACCTAATATATAATAAATGATTGTTACATAACGATCAACAAATAATGCTGTAGGAACAAAATGTTTAGCAAAATCAATCCATGTTGTATAAATTTCTAATAACATTTGATCGGATATTGATTTATTATTATTGATTGAATTATCAATAGAATAATTAGTATTGGTATCATTGATATTGATTGTAATTGAATTAGTTAATTGAATAATCATTAATAATATAAATATGAATAATATTATTTTGGATAGTAACTGATTAGACGTCATTAGAAATTTGAATTATTATGGATAGTAACTGGAAAAAGAAAATGAGCGACAACAAAAAAAAGTTTTTTTTGAAATATTGATGTATTGAAAATGTAATAAGATGATGAATTGACAGGATGATAATTCCTATTTAAACATAAAAAATAAAAAAATATAAAGTTCAGTAAAGGAGTCTCTTTTCTCAGTTTAGTTCTATAAGAGTGAGAGGAAAGTAATTACGAGTTCTATACTTGAACATCTAATCGATTGTAAGCATTCTACGGATACACAGCTTAATTTTAAAGTTGTATATATGATTCGGAGGAAGAAATCGAGAAGAAGTGCCGGAAGTGTATAGGACACACATTGAGGAAAGTACTCAACTGCGTCATGAGACAAACCCTCACATGGAATCCTCAAGGCCAAAGGAAAAGAGGAAGACCAAAGAACACATTACGCCGGGAAATGGAGATAGACATGAGAAAAATGAACAAGAATTGGATGGAAGGCCCAGGACAGAGTGTGTTGCAGAATGTTGGTCGGCGGCCTATGCTCCATTGGGAGTAACAGGCGTAAGTAAGTAATATATTACACGGTCAAATCTTCCTAGCCTTCTTCGTATTCAACTTCTAAAATTAGCCGATGCTCTTACCATCCATGAGCTCATACTAGAACTATTTGTAAAAAGGACGTCCTAATGTTATCGTTACCTTGGTTTTAATTAATATTATCATTATTACTTCATCCCCCTTTACTTATGTCTTATATTCTCATTATTTTATTCAAATGCTCATCATATCACTTGACTTATTTTCACACATCTATGACCTTTAATGACCTTTAATTATTGTAACAAAAACATTTTAATCATCTTATTACATTCACTGAATCTATTGTTATTATTCGTATCACGTAATCTAGTATTATAATCTTTCTTTTACTCCATCTTGACTATTTGTGTCCACATTTCCTCACGGAATTAATACTTTAACAAAAAAAATTCCAGTAGTTAAGACCACAAGTCAATTGAAACTAGACCACCATGGAGAACCTGGAAGAACTAGACGACCATTTCGTCCTATTATGGGACTGCCCAGCAGTGCATATCCATAACCCCGCCCCAAAGAGTCGAACCCAGGACTTATCAGTCTCGCGGGCGAGTGCTTAACCATATATATACGATTGCACAGCTTGATAATAAAAGGTGATATATTCCAGCTAATGAAGACAAAATGAATACATTTAAACTTTTCGTCTTAAATTTAAAAAATTTTTCAGTTAATTCATTTGGTGTTGTTTGTAGTTCAGAAATCACCTTTCAGTTGATAGTTGTTAAACAGCTTAATAATAATAAAAGAAAATTTGTTATATCACACATTGTTATATTATGGTGTAATGGCAACTTTCCATGAAGCGCCTACTACTTTATCTGCAGATTCATTTCGTAGAACGTATTCATTCTATCTTTCCTAAAGTTTTGTTAGATCTCGATAACCAGTTGTGGAATAATTGAAAAAGTATTATGAAAACTGTATTCGGACAATTTTAGTATCATTGAAGTTTGGCAGCCTAGTATAATTTTACAGCTTATATGAAGTGATTGGAAGGATTTTATTATATAACAACTGCTTGGTTGAATCTGAATCCACAGATTAGTTGACATGTATTTTAAGTGGGATAAATATGCAACGCTGAAATGTACCTTAACTTTAATAATATGTATTACCTCAAACATATACGTTATGTCCCAAGTAGACTCTGGGAGATGATTTATTTGTCTAAGCTGAATACACGTTTAATTCGATATCAAAGATATGCTAAGGACCTACATAATGTGAGGTTTATAACTGAAACATTTTTTCATTGTGGCTATTATTGAAACCGTCCTCTGTTGTAATTGGTAAAAGAGTTTAGGATTACTGCATGTGGTGCTAGAATCCATTAGTTAACAAAGAAATCTAGATGAATAAGTTACTACCATTTTGTCTTAATCCAATGATCTCTAGAAAGGCAGTTTACTCAGTTCTAAGTCAAGTATTTTGTATGAGTTCTAGTGACATTACTTAGTTTTCTAAATTAAGGTACTTAAAAAACGGATTGGATCAGTGATTATTTGAATAGAACCTGATGTGGTAATCTTCAAAGCGTTACTTCACTCCACCCTGAATGAGTCAATAACAAAAAGGTAAATGAATGTAATGTCACATCATTAAAACTGGTGACCCTCTTAAAAATTGGTCTATAAGATCTGAAAAGTACTATGGCCTAAATGAACATGACATAAGTCCTACTGCAAGTCAATTGTGGCTCGATTGACTTGATAATGACCTTTTAGACTGAGAAGTCGGATGATAAATGTCTTATTACAATCCTACCAAATTTCAATTACTCTTTCATAGCAATTCACAATCACAACGACACTACAGTCCGAACGTCCTGTGAACATTAAAACCACTGAGTAGCGTCTCACTAGTCTATAGGTTAAGCGATCGCATGAAACCGAAGGTCTCAGGTTCCAGTCCCACATCACCGATAGTATATATTCACTGCTAAGGAGCCCTATACTACGACAAAACGGCCACCAAGTGGTTTCAGGATTTTAATGATGATCTAACTTTTATATCGATTCATGATTTCAATAAAATGTAATAATAGCCACAACCCTCTATTAAAAATATGATCAAACTGTTTATATTGATATAAATAATCGGTTTATTATAGTCTATAAACGGCCGTCCAGTGCTTCCAGGTTTTCAATGGTGGTCTAACATCAGTCGGTTCATGATCTCCACAACCCCTAAACTGGTAATTACCATGTGCTCACTAGTGACTAGCTTCATGAGAAAATTCTCAGAGTTCTGTTGAGAAGCCGTGAAAAGTGGAGCTAATCCGTGTCGGGTAGAAACAAGTGTCTACCTCAGTACAATGGAAGATGGTCGCACAATTTCGTGGATTGGTTGATGTTAGACACTATCACCATTGGATGATGGCTCAGAAGTCCAGTTGGTTAAGCGTTCGCGTGCGAGACTGAAGGCCCTGGGTTTGAATCCCGCGAGCGGGATCGTGGATGCTCACTGCTGAGGAGTCCCACAATAGGACGAAACGGCCGTCCAGTGCTTCCAGGTTTCCAACGGTGATCTAACATCAATCGGTTCATGATCTCAATAAAAAAAAGTAGATAAATTGAACTTCTGTTGTTTAGAAAAAAAATAATGTATTTCAATAAGAATAAACAAATCACGTCAAACAACTCGTTATGACAAAAACAAATAGGCTTAGATTTGTTTATACTTAATAATTATTTGATCCCGTCTGACTGTGTTCTGTTGTTCAAAAGTTAAACAATTTATCTTCTGTTTTGTTTTAACTATAAGCTATCAGATATTCATACCATAGTAGGAAATTTAACAGAATGACTGAAAATTGATAAACGTTTAACTAGATTTAATAATATTATATTTGACTAGGTGGATTATCATTGTATGTTTGTTCGCTTGTTTTCTTTCTTCGATTACAAAACTGATAACCTTGTCAAGAAAGACAATGAGAACTTCATGGTTAAACTATTCTGCTCATAGAAGAAACATTCTAAATAAAAAATGAGAATCTATAGCTTTAAAACAATTTTAAGTCAAAATTTATCAAGCAATTCATCAAGTAATACATACAATTGATGTTTATCTGCTCTAAATTCAACTACTTACATTATTTTAATAGTTGAGATCATAAGTCAATTCAAGCTACATCATCATGAAAAAACCTGGAAGCGCTGAACAACCGTTTCGTCCTGCTGTGAGACTCGTCAGAAGTGCATATCCACAATCCTAAGTCACGAGATTTGAACACGGGACCTACTGCGAGGAGTCTTACAATAATACGAAATGGCCGTCCAGTGCTTTCAGGTTTTCTATGGGTTTCCGTGATCACAACTATTAAAATTAGTAATAATATCCACAAAAATCCCTTCTGATATTTACATTATCGTAGTAAAAGTATTCCAATGACTTGAAAAGCTAAAAAAATCAAAACAATACTATCAGTAGTAATGAAAAAGAAATAGAAAAATAAATATTTAGCAAAAAAGCGATAAACAAAAATCAGGGTATAGAATTATTTGGAGAATATCATGCATGATATATGAATTTAGTAACTTATTGAATTAATCAGTAACTATGTGACTAATTTTATTCCAATCACATTATGTCTTTAATAATAAATGGATTCTACTGAAAGGTCATCAAGATTCAAGAAGTGCATCATACATGATAAAGTAAAATAACATACACAGTGACGTATTTCCTGGAATTCCTAAGAGAGGCGGTGAACAATGGAGTTCAATTGGGATTGTTGTGAGATAGTAAGTCACTGAAAACAATGGTGGACGGTGGTGAAATTTCGTGGACTGGTTGAACTTAGACATTAACACCGTTCGATGCCGACTCCGTGGTCTAGAGGTCAAGCGTTCATGCGCGAGACTGATATATCCCGTGTTCGGACCTCACAATGCGGGATCGCGGATGCTCACTGTTATAGAGTCCCATACTAGGATGAAACGGCGGTCCAGTGCTTCCAGGTTTCCGTGGTAGTCTAATTGATTCATGAATTCAATTATCATTGACTAACTGTACGAATATGCGTTTACATTAGTAAGTTATCGAATTGTTACTGTTAAATATAATTCAGTTCAAATTCATACACATCTAGCTATTAATCTAACTGAAAATAAACTATGTAAAATGTGATACATTCATAAATTATTTTAGATTAGTTTTTGGAGTCAAGTAAATCCTTATTAATAAAGGGCGCATTCAATAGAATCAGTCATATTTGTACTAGCGATACTATTGAAGTAGAGACGAAGCTCTTGACTGAAACGTTAATGAATAATGGCTATTCATTGAAGTTCATAAACCACTAGAAGGTTTGCAATATGATTAGATCTATGACGCTTCTGGCACCTAAAAACAGATTTTACATTATCTTACCATTTAGAGGCAACTCAAATAGTCTCATGTCGAAACGGAAACTCAAATTAGCTATCAATAGGACATTTTATGCAGCCCAACTTGTCATTATTGAAAAGGCAAGGTCTATGTTCTACCAAAAACTCAAACGGCATGTGTCACATCTCATTATGTCTATCATTT